GGAGCTCAAGAGAGGTAGGACCATAGGAGAAGGGTATTATTAAGGGAGAAAGGGGGGAAATGGGGGCACCTTAAGTGGGAAAACTATGGTAGAAGAGTGAGACAATGCGAGAGGTATATAATGCCTAGCTAGTTTTGAAAACCAGAGGGAACCATATTACTCCTACAACCTACTGACAAATTATACATGGTAGATCAAGAAACATATGTCTAGGTAAGGTTTATCTGAGAACAGCTGGTCTTTGCCCAAGATTTATCTACATGGCACACAGTAATTAAAAGTACCAGACTGGTGGAACTAAACTTTATGGATGTTTAACAGACATACTTTGAGGCCTATACTGATTTGGTCCGAGGGACATAAAGGACAGTTTTTGCTCCTTGCCCTCCTAGGTCGACTAGTTCCAGGGAACTATGAGCATCTCTCAAAATGTCCTATAATGGTGGTGGGTCACCTGTCCTCTTGATCAAGGAGGCCAAGGAGACCCCACCAGATTGAATTGAACCAGTGTCCAGGCTACAAAGAGGAGGGTCAACACAGAGGAATCACCTCTTCCATGCTTCCAAGCGAAAAAGCCAACCATGGTCGAGCAGGATCTTTGACTTATCTTCACATAGGCAGAACTGGTAAAAGAAAGGAGCCAGGGGCTCCTCCCAAGCCCATGTGACCCCTGAGGAACAGATCCTCAAATGACCTTAAGAGTAAAAACAAATTGGTTTATCAGGGCCAACTTCATGGCCTTAAACATCCAAAATGAAAGTATAACCAAAGATTAAAGGGGTCAATATAATTTCTTAAGAGTCCATATGCATAGCTAAAGGCTACATAATAAGCAACAATGCCAGATAGGAGATACCTTCTTTTGAGTTGTTGGCCAGGGTAAAGAAAGGGACTCCCAAATAGTAACCAAGCATAGAACTGGGAATATGGGCGTTCGGGGATCTCGGGGCACCAGCTGCTGGGCGTGGCACCAGTCTCCCACACATCCCTGGAGTGCAGCGGGTCCCGCGGGCCATGTCTGCTGTTCGGGCCCCTGGCTCTCCACTGCTGGGGTGCATGGATTTCGTGCACTGCCTTGCCGTGGGTCTCTGCTACCGGAGCTGGCGGCTCTAGGACCACTGTCAGCTGCCTGGTCGGGTTCTGTTTCAATTTCCACCATGCACTCTCTCTCTAAGTTCGAGACCTGTTGGCCACCAGGTCATGAGGGGAGGTGCGAGAAATGGTGAAAGCAGGGTCTTTGTGAGTCAATGACGGAAGGAGCCCCCCCCACCCCCGAGACTGGATCACAGGATTTAGTGTTACAGCTTCAGACAAGTGACTCAGCTCAGATCTCAGTGATTCAGCTCCAGCTCCAGCTTTATTGGGGTAAAACTAGGACTATTTATAGTGTGGAGACAGTAGAAGGAGCCTTAGCTGATAGGTACTCCTGGAATGCTTCATTTACATAGGGCAGTGGGCTTCTATCAGGCTATCAGACAACGCCTGATTAAAACCTGGTAGCTCCTGTGCCGGAGGGCATGTATCTTGTGACGGACACTTCAAAAGTACTTCAGGGAGGAGAGCAGGAGGTGCCCCGCTGAGAAGAGGAGTCTCCCCATTCGTGCCGAGCCAGCTTGTGGCTATCCGGACATGGGGAGACTGCTACCCTAAACAGCAGGGGTCCCCAACATCTCCCCCTAACAGCAGACCCTAATCTTATCTAAAGGAGTATTGACAACTGATTGCTGCTAGAAGAGGAACAGTTGACCCTCCTAAAACAAAGACCTCTAGATAGGCTGACTAGATTCAACAGAAGGGCAAGTAGTGGGTATTGGCCGACAACACCGTAGACAGTAGCAGAGATATCAGAGTATAAGGCCTGTAGTTGGGGAAGAAAGGTGCCAAC